TCGGATTTACCGTCGAACCGCGCGATCACGAGATTTCCGACGGGTGAACATTACACTAAAAGTGGATCGATATACTTTCTTTTTGCAGCAATCGTCTTTATTTCGTCTCACTTTTATTTTCTTACAAAAAAAAACCGCTACTTGGCACATCTAATAGTTTTGCGTCGTATATTGTAACACGTTGCATATTACGAGAACAATCGACGTCGAATTGTCACACTTTTATCTTAGCAGAATACTCTCTCGTTCTTTTTCTCTCTCTCTCTCTTACACACACACACACACACATACACTACGTCTGAATCGATCGCGGGAAAATCATACCGTTACGTATTAATTAATTAAGGCAATCGTAGCTAATTAAAACTGTATTTTTCTCTCAGTACGTGCAAACCGAACGCTGAAAGTGACAACGATGTGACAGTGGAAGTAAATAATGAGCCACAAGTGTTTTTCTCAGTGTATGTATATGTTATACAATAATATGCGTGTGTGTGTGTGCATTATGTCAGTGAAAAAATTGAGAAACTCAGGAACGTGAAAACAGTCGTGCAGTTAACGACCTTCCTCTCGAAAGAATTTTTCTAGAATTCTTTCTCATTTTCGCGATTGCCTCAGGTGCATGACGCACAATGGATCGATCAGTCGACCCAACAGAGAACGTTGTATACTTATATCGTTCCACAAATGATGCAATTGTAGTAACAGTATTAAGAATAATAAGATCCATTATAGCTCGTAGTCAAGCAAAAATATTCCACTGTTAGTAGAATATGTGAATGTGTGTGTTTTCTGTGTGATTTAACTATGACAATGCAAATATATCTTCTAAAACTAGAATGTACTGGAAGAGAATTGAATTGGGGGTAAAAAGACGAGGACTCGAGAGTTTATGATGAAAAGGGTGAGCTCTGGGGATCCGAGAATCGTTCTTCTGCGACGTCTCCGGGCACTGTCGCATTTGGAGGATGAGAGCACCCGTTTACGATCAGTACTCGAAGACTTGTGTGAAGTCAGCCCCTCATTCTCAAGATTTGAAGAAAATAATCGGTGTTATAGAGCCGTATTAATAGTCATTATTTGAAATTCGCCTCAACTGAGGCATACTCAGATTTGAATTCAGAATTGGATGGGAGTTTTTCAGCAGAATATCGCGACTACAGATATAAATATCACCTAGTGTATCATAATTTAACTAAAAAACTTGGATCTAACTTTGAGTAAAAGTCTGAGTATCTCACATGAGACAAACTTCAAGTGACAACTGTTAATACATCCTCTGGTTGCCCCCACCCCAAAGAGAATTCTAGAATTCTCAATCGGTTTTAGAAATAGTTCTAGCTTTTGAAGCGGTCAAAAGGCCACTTGAAAGAAAGGAGGGGAGGGCAACCTCACAAAGCCCCCGATTTTGTCCAAAATCCTAAATACCAAAAAACTCCTCGTCACTTTGAGCACGAGATATTCGTCCAATCGAACTTCTCGGCTTCAAAAGCAGAATCGAGATTAGAAGGCTGAGGGATCTCG